GGCCTCGGGCACGGCCGCCAGCTCGGTCGGTTCAGCCAACGGGAAACGGCTGTTACCACGAATGTACGACCCTGTAGATGTGTTGTAGTATTGGTAACCGCATTTAGAGGCGACATACGTTTATTATATGTCTCAAAAGGCATTTCCCTCATGCGGTTTCATGGAACGCTGGCAGCCGTTCAGCGTATGGAGCGCATGACATACAGCGTACGGGAATGCGGCAATACAATACTCTCTCAAAGAGTGAGGCCGTGCGTGCGTGATAACAACGCACCTGGACTATCTCACGACATCCAAAAATCGGGCCCGCCTGCTGGCACTTAGTTTTGCCTGATATGACTCCCGCATATATTCATAAATAGTGGGTGGCCCCTGAACGTGATGAGTAAAATACGGTGACGTTATGCACCTACTTGAAGGCTAACTCGGCGGATGGGACCGTCCACATATGAAAGCGCAGCGTCAGGACTATCGCACGACATCGGTGTATCGAGGCTGGAGGCTCATTTATGAAGCTGCCGAAAACTACCGTGCCTGTTTATTACAGGCGGTTGCCTGTTGCAACAGTCCTGGTATGTCTCCCTCCTGACGTGTTATTCAAATTTCCTGGTCCGGAAGTGGTGCACGAACTACGCTTGCGTTTTAAAAATGCTTGAAATACTCAAATTGTCAACAACAATAGGCGACGGCGGCTGGACAAACTATTTAGGTGTCCTGTGATGGGTCAGGACCAGTGCCATCGACACGCATGGTCCTCTTGTCCGACGCCGCTTGTAAGTCTCTATAACGCCATGCTTTTTTGTCCACCACTTACAAAGCGACCGCCTGTTTTCAACGGTGCAGCATGAGGGGTTCACACGGAGCTAATAGGCGCATCGGGGACGATGTTCGCGCATCGTGCGTAATCCGTGAAGGAGCGTGCTACGCGTACGTTTCTGCCCCGCGCTTGCATGCCATATGCATATATGTAAATGCTTCCACATTTTTGGCCCCGCATGCCAAGCGGCAGTCGACATACACTATTATGTGAATGTTACATGTGACGGGGTCACATCAAGCAAACGGACTCCGGCAGGCGGGACCGACGTTTGGGTGTCACGCAATAGCCATGAATCAGTTCTATTCAACACCCGCGGTTCCGCGAACCGAGCTGGATTAATGAACTTTTGGAACGCTGCGGTGACTCGCTCTCCCAGGGCGGACCGACCGCTGGTCTTCACGGGGGAATTTCTTATTTGCATGGGGCTTTGTACGAAAAAAGCCATCTTGAAAATCATTCGGTGCCATTCACAACGCTGCCCTTCGTGGGACCTAAACCCCTCTAGTTTCTAAGCTACACACCCGCGAAGATGGGGACTTTTCGGGGAGAGTATTGCAAGGTCACATTGGCATTCATGACGCCATAATGACATCATTCAAATTCTGCCATTTCGTGAGCCATGCGGTGATCAAGGCCAAGACAGATACAACAATAACATGCTGAGGAGCGCATTTACTTAGTAGAGAAATTGTGTCGTCTAGAGCAATCTTTCTACTTAAAAGTATACCAATGAACACAAATGAGCTTGTTTCATCATATCCAATGCTTGCCTTAATATATTAAAATATGAAACATTCCCTTTAACAATGCATCGTGCGGGATCGATAGCAAACAAAAGCAGGCGCGAGGCCGACGTTTGGGTGTCGTACGAAAGCCGAGGACAAGTGTTATCAAATTATCCCGTCCCATTCTCCGTGCGTCATTGTACGTATGTGCGAAACTCTCTCGTATGTTGTACCCCACGCGTCACGCGTCCGCCCGCAATTAATCAAACGCTGTGAAAGAGGCACGCCAAACAGATGTGGGAACACTCAGCCACTATTTACCGTTATTCTGAGTAAGCTCCGCCTGCCACCCGGTCATACTGAACTAGTGATCCGATGCAAATCGTTCAGAGTTCACCGTGGATCAGTTCGCCACTCTGTTCAGTAAATATTTAATTCAACGCAGCACTTATTAGTGAGGAAAGACAAGTGCAACAGTAGAATGGCAAAGATCATCGCACACGCGCGCATTAAAAAACAGGGAGCACGATCCTCTTAATCGACTTTGGGGCGGTCTTGCGCGTGCCTACCAGCACCTCGCACCCGTGAGTCCAAAAGCCGTGTCTAAAAGGCTCAAAGCTACTGTCAGGACTTCTGCGGTGCCGGGGCACTCACAGCATTAATTCAGCTGATGAGAGAATCACCTGGAGTGTCGTTCCGACAAGGCCGCGGCACAGAGTGCCCCGACCCTCCAAATTCCCAACCTGAGGCCCGCTCGCAGGTGTGGGCGGGGCTACCACCCCACCGGCCGGCATACGCACTATCTCTCCGTGACAGCCGTGGATAGGAGGCCTCGGCCGCGGTGAAAAGGGTGAGCGATAGCGGATCAGACTTCATAACTGGCTGCGCGTGCACGCTCATCCACTTTATGGAGGCAACCCATCGTAGCACCGCTTCACCACGGTCGGCTCTCTATCAGCGGCCACAGAACTGGCATCAACAATATCTATCGTAATTTCTTACCTTAAAGAAATAGGGGCCGGTTGCTAGGCCGTGGTTTGGGTGTTCTGCGACATACCTCCATCAGTGCTAGGAAACGTACGTTGTCCCATTCGCGCAGGTCAATGATATATATATATATATATATATATATATATATATATATATATATATATATATATATATATGCACATAATCGACTTCGGGAGGGAACCCTGCGCGTTTGATGGCACTGTTTTGTAGCCATCCCACGAAACCCAAGTATTGGGCCCTGCCGCCGACGGCTATTCGTGGCAACTCTGGCGGTCGCTCGACTTGTAGTACAATAAATGCTTAGAACCATAGCATAGATTATAGGCATTTAGTGTACACTGAGGGTGGGACCATGACAGCTTGGAAGAACTGCTTCAGGGCCATCGCACGACACTCCAGCATCGAGACTGACGACCGGGGCCCGCGTATTTGAAATCGCGCCCTCACGCTGAATGAATGAAAGTGGCCGGACGTTTGGAACGTGGTGCACAAATTGCTGAAACATTTTAAACATAGGTACAATCGCGAGAAGAATGAAGTACCGCGCGCTGTCAATTTTGAGATCAGCCAAAAATCACGTTTGGGGCCCAAACATCGAGCCCGGACACGGGTGTCCACACGATTACTAAGAGCCCAGGGTGTCCAGAGGGCTCCTGGCTGGTCACAAGGGCCCAAGAGCAGACAGAGGGGTTCTAAGGCAGGCAAATGGCCCCTAAGCGGTGGAATAATCCCATCAGACCCCGTCCGCATCTGTCAGGTCTGATCTGGTATGGTCTTGGCCCGCCCAGTTCCGTCTGGTTTGGTCTGTCCCGTCTGTTCCCGTATCGAGTTGTGACATTCAGTCCAATTTCTTCCGGTCCGGTCCGCCTCCGATAGGCTCCATGTGGTCCCGTTTTTCATACCGGCCAGTCCCGTCTGATCCCGTCCGGTCACACCTGGTTTTGTCTGGTACCGCCTGGTTCAGTCAAATCCCATCTGTTCCTATCCTGTCTAGTTCCATCCTGTCCTGTGCGATCCTGTCCTGGTTCCAGCCCGTTCCGCCTGGTTTGGCCTGGCCCTATCCTATTAGACTCGGTCCAGTCCCGTCTGGTGCTTTCTAATCCCGTGCAGTCACGTCCATTCTCATCCGCATCAATTTGACGCCGTCAGAATGATTCATTCTGTCTCTGTTCAGTTCCGTCTCATCCTGTCTGGTTCGGCACGAGGTGATCTATCATCAGGCCGGCAATGATTTTATAGTTTTGTGACGTCACGGTACTATCAGCTGAAAGTGTTTGTGACCTTTATTTTTGCATGATCAGCTGGACGCACCATCGCAGATCTGTGAATGGTAAGAAGTGGGGCGTGCTGCGGGTTGTAGGTAAAACGCTATTTATTTTAAGTATATGGGATGTAGAGCTAAGTGGAGATACTAGACACATTCAGAAGTGTATTTGCATCTTAAATTGCCGTTATTGTATAAGTTTCAGGGTAGATTTAGTCGGTTTACACCGTTTTAGAAGGTGCCCGTAAAATTGCACGGATTAGAGAATATGAAATTAAAAAAGAGGGGACAAAAACTTGCCATCAGCCTGCTTGAAGCTGTTGCTAAATCCTCTTAAGAAATCATTTCAGACCTTAAGGAGTTTAGGTTGTTTTTGGCCCTTGACCAGACTGCAGAAATGCCTCAACAACCATTTCCGGCAATGGCAGTGCCGTTAAGTAAAATTGCAGTATGTACATCTTAAACCCAGGGCAATACAACACTGCTGAAAGCCAACTGCTTTTGTGTATGGCCAATGCCAATCTTAGCATGGAGAAAGGCAATGGTTAACAAATTATGTTGTTGGAAAGATATCCCACACTAAGGAAACTAAGAAACTGAATGTTTATAATGAAAAATATTTAAAATACTTTGTACAAAAGACAATTCACAAATTTAATGGAATTTGACCTGCCTGAGCAAGGTA